AAACACAGCGTCACACACGGCGGGCTAGAGTGAGCGGCGGCTGGCAGATTCGGCGAAGGAGCGGCCGGCGGGCTTGTGGCAACCACACGTGACGACCCCGGGCTGGACTCCGCTTCGTCCACGGTGAAAGTCGATCCGGCGATCCACAGCGCGAAGTTGATGTATTTCCTCAGCGACCAGCACGGATCAGCTCTAGGCATGACGAAGTTGATATCGTCCTCTTTTGTAAGGCCAAACAAAGTAGTTTCGCTTTCACAACGAAACACAGCGTCTCCACGACATGGCGGCGGTGGCAACAACAATACTACAGCGAGAATAAAAGTTACTCCTTCTTTCTTTGCGTGAACATTTGGGCGGCGTTATGCAAATCTTCCCACATCGTGACGTAGATATGTGGGGGCGTGTTAGAACGAGACGTTTTAGGTAGGCGTGGCTGACTCTTAACTTTTATAAAGAATATCTCTTTGGATTTGAGACTTTAGTCTTTGCAACTTTACAGATCTTCTTTATGCACCAAGAGCTTGTAACACTCCAAAGAGAAAGGAAAAATTGAAATCGCATCATATGACCCCTTTAAATGTCTCTAACAATATACGTTTGGTTTTCATTCGGAAACTGGAAAGTGTATGAAGGGTTGGATCTGTCATGTGAATAGAGATCAGTTAATGATGATACATTTGGCACAAATGGTATTGTGCTTCGATCAATACAGTAGAGCCATATAAACCAGGCGATGATCTCTAGAAACAAATTCGTTTGAACATCAGTAATATAAAAGGAAAAAATCTGGAGCGGTGTCCTCTCTGATGCTCCACATCAATTTTACTGAAATATACCTGTACTTTTGCACAATGAACAATTTTGGCAATGTAAAATCTGGATCCTGGAGCAAAACTGGTTGAGAACCACCAAGTGTAGAGAATGTTTTTCTTTTATGGTTGCATTTTAACAACTCTCCCAGTTTCAAATCATGAACAATACGTTTTGAAAGTTTAGTTAAGCATGAGTTTTGTTCAGTCACTTGAAAGATATTTATCACATTTTAGCATTCATGAAAGGCATTTAAAAATGCATGGCTCAGCGTAAACGTGAGCTTGAGCGTCAAAGTGAATTTATTCACACAATACTTGCCTTAATTTATGCCTTTCTTGAGAGCAATTCCAGTTGATTGAAATCTTGCCTGCTGTGTCAATGAAACTGTTTTATCTTGTGGGCCATATACAGTAACATTAATATTAAAAACTAAAACAGTTTACATAATGAAATTGCCACTAAGACTTTGTACTCAAGTTTCTTTATTTCAGAATTTATAGCGCATATTTTGCATTTTCATTTGTTAGACCTTTGTTATTTAACTGTACTGCACTTTTTTGGCATGTTTAAAGTAAATTCTAATAAAAGCTATGGAAGAAATCCTGCGAGGAATAATTTCTCTGATATAAGCCAAAAGAGTCCCGCACGTGACCGGGAAGAAAACACAAGATGTCATGGCCATGAATTAAGAATTCCTCATTTAAGTTATGTACATGTACTAATTTGTTCCCTTTAGTTAAATCTAAATTAAACTGAGGGAATGAGGATATGATTTAACTAAAACGAGGGAACAAAAAAATCTAACTCGGCCACAAATTCTTAAATTGTGGTAATAAATTCTCAAGTCATGGCCACAATATGTATTTTTTCTTCCACAAATGGAAATTGTTTGTACAAACGTTCATTTAAATTCTCACATTGAATTAATTAAAAGAATTTACATAACAGCTTTACAAGAAATTTCACGAATTAGGGCCAGTTTGTTGTAAATTATGTCATATTGTATAGAACTGTCAAAATTATAGACTTCAAATGTGACCCTGGACCACAAAACCAGTCATAAGGGTCCATTTTTTGAAATTGAGATTTATACATTATCTGAAAGCTGAATAAATAAGCTTTCCATTGATGTATGGTTTGTTAGGACAGTATTTGGTATTTGAAAATCTGGAATCTGAGGGTGCAAAAAAAATCAAAATATTGAGAAAATCACCTTTAAAGTTGTCCAAATGAAGTTCTTAGTAATGCATATTACTAATCAAAAATTACGTTTTAATATATTTAATTTTACAAAATATCTTCATGGAACATTATCTTTACTTAATATCCTAATGATTTTTGGCATAAAAGAAAAATCTATCATTTTGACCCATACAATGTTTTTTTTGGCTATTGCTACAAATATACCCCAGCGACTTAAGACTGGTTTTGTGCTCCAGGGTCACAAATAGGTACACTGTCTTTTTGTTAAATAGCTCAAGGATATTTTGAGGTTATCAAGGATAAAATCCCAATATATTTATATTAAAAAAAAGTCAACGTGCACATGGACATCAAGTCGATATGTTTGCTGATGTTTGGTGTTCTTTCCAAGGCCACACACTGAATCCAGAGCATTCATAGAAAACACAAGCAATGGCAGGTCATGCACTGCTCTGATACAGTATGTACATGATTCATAAACAAGACAAAGATGTCCTTACGCCCTGCATACAGTGTGAGCTCAGTATATCAGTGGTGAGATGAATGAGGACTGCTCATGTCCTTGATGTACCACTCTGGTAAGAAGGTATACTGAGAGTCTCTGTGGACGGCGTAGGTCACTTCTCTGTGTGGATCCCATGTGAACAGGTACACCAGTCTGAAAAACATCACATCAGACCAGTCACAATCTCTGATAAGAGGGTAGATGTTAAAGTTGTTCATTCCATTTTACTTGTGTAATCCGACACATATATTTAAAAATAAAAAAGGTATGGGACCTGATTTTCAGGGATTGATTTGATTGTGACAAGTACGAGTTAAATTGCAAAGGATTACAACAACAAATGTTCTTATTTTCCAACATGCACTGATGAAATGTTCAAAATAAGACCTTGAAAGTGCATTAAGAAAGTGAGTAGGGACTATTTTTTATTTAATGCCGACACATTTTCGATCACATGCAACCCTCTTACCTTGGGTCGTCCTCTTTGACGACTGATTTGACAAAGGACAAGAAATCGTTGCAGAAATTCATACAGACTGTTGGTTTCCAGCAGTTAAACTCATTCTATAGAATAAAGAGAAACGAAAACATCACAGCTCTATTCCAGACAACAGTGAACTGCATTTTTAGGCATCACAGATGTGTTTCCAAAGCAAAGGCTGTTCCTGTTCTAAGGAACCTGTTTATGGCCAAATTTCTACGGCAGCATCACATGTATCCTTCATAAGTAAGGCAATCCCAGAATGCATTGCAATGGGCTCAGTGAAAATTTGACATTCAAAAGATTTCAGTTCCATTCAACATGACTGCTAAATGTAGTTCAATCTAATTACAAACTGACTACTTTACACAATAAGTATGCTATGCACTATTTTTATGAACTATCGTTAAAACTGCCGTTTTTAAATAAATTAATACTTTTACTCATCAAGGACACATTAAACTGATTAAAAGTGACAGTAAAGACATTTATAAAGTTACAAAAGATAAATGCTGTTCTTGTGAACTTTCTATTCATCAAAGAATCCTGAAAAAATGCATCACCGTTTCCGCAAAACTATGCAGCAGCACAACTGTTATTATCACAACAATGTTTCTTGAGCAGCAAATCAGCATTTTAGAATGATTTCTGAAGGATCATGTGACACTGAAGACTGAAAATGCTGAAAAGTCAGCTTTGCATCACGGGAATAAATATAAACATAAATTTTAAAATATATTAAAAATCGAAAATTAAATAGTAATAATGTTTCACAATATTACTGTTTTTACTGTATTTTTGATCAAATAAATGCAGCCTTGGTGAGCATAAAAGACATCTTTTAAAAACATAAAAAATCTTACTGACTAATCTTATGTGGTTATATAGAACAAACCTTGATGAGTTGTGAAATTTTCGAGGTTGGGAAGGTCTCAACAGCCACCACTATCCCATCATGGTCTCGAAACCCAGCGACTATCTGTGGCACTCCAGGAAGAAACGACTGCGCCCACCATTTCAGAAGCTTATACCTACAAGAGGAATATACATACATACATGTTTCTAAGAGGCTAGCTGTTGTTTTCACTTTTAATTTAATTAATGCCCCATAAATTTATTCAACCCTTGAGAAAAAGTGTTAATATTCTTTGAAACATGAAGAAATTTGCATTTGAATGACATGAGGAGGCTCATTTTTGGTGAACTATGCCTTTAATGTTTAGTTTACACCAAGATGAATGTTCAGTGGAGTCAAAATTGTAATATAAATGAATGACTGTTAATAGGATGGTTCACCATAAAATGAAAAATCTGTAATTATTTACTCATCCTCAAGTTGCTCCAAGCATATTTGAGTTTCTTTCTTCCGTTGAGCACAAACGAAGACATTTTGAAGAACGTTTGTAATCAAACATTTGATGGTAGCCATTGACTTCCATAGTAGGGAAAAAATACTATGGAAGTCAATAGCCATCTATTCTAGCCATCCATAGCATTTTGGGATATTGCATAAAAATAAAAAAAAACGCTGGGTGGCAACGCCAAGATGCGCATAAATTCTAAAAATGTGCATAAACTGCGATGGAAACACTTTTACCGAATAAATTCCTTATTGCGCATCAAAAAAGACATGCGACTTTGCAATGGGACAACATAAAATTGGACCAACCAACGGACTGAGCTCATTGCACAGCATCTGAAATACTAGTCATGTCATTCTAAAATGCTTGAGTAAAGTCTCGTCAAAGTGCTTCGTTATAATTAACTCCCAGAACTGCGTTTCCAAACAGCTCTGTAGCTCGTAATTTATTGTATACAAATATTATTATATACAGTGCCTTCTCCTACTGCAGCAATTTTTCTTTCTGATATTTAGCGCAAGTTAATCAGAAAGTGACTATTTTGTTCTCGTAAACTCACTTGGATGAAAAGTGCTTTATTCGCAAATGTTTAATGCAATATTCCAATTTTGCGCATAATTTTAATTCGCAACTTTGGATGGAAACATAGCTAATGGCTACTGTCAACTATTTGGTAAATGATGACAGAAGTTTCATTTTTGGATAAACTGTCCCTTGAAATATCCCTACATATATAGATTTTCTGACGGAGAGGTGATCTAATCTTTCTTCCATCGCACTGCGAACAAAACTGGCCAACGGACAACATATGCACTTTTGGTCACATGACCATGTCGCTCACAAACAAACTATTTTGCTAAGTGCCAGTGAAAAGCAGGAAGAATCTAGTTGTGCAGTGCAATGTTTGTGTACCGGGGTAACCGCTGTATTTCTTCTAGTGCGGTCAAATGATTAATCGCGATTAATCGCATCCAAAATAAAAGTTTTTGTTTACATAATATATGTGTGTGTACTGTGTATATATATTACGTATAAGAAAAATATGTTGTTTACATATTAAATATATTTATATATATAAATTAAATTATATGAATATAAATATATACACGTAAATATTTTCTAAATATATACTGTATGTGTGTGTATTTATATATACATAATAAATATACACTGTACACACACATATATTATGCAAACAAACTAAATATATACTGTATGTGTGTGTATCTATACATACATAATATACACAGTACACACACATATATTATGTAAACAAAAACTGTTATTTTGGATGCGATTAATCGCGATTAACCGTTTGACAGCACTAATTTCTTCTTTTTTAAGCGCCACCGTTAGAGTTTGAATTTGCATTTCCTTTCAACCACTTTGCTGTTTTTTAATAAAAATCAGACCTCATTTTGTGCCGAACACACGTGTTGGTGTGAACTAGGGCTGCACGATAAATCGCATGCGATATTTAACGCTCATCTTGTCAGTAAAGCCATTCTGTAATCAGCTGTAAATCTCCATCACCTGTGGGCTTTCACATGGAGCAGCATTAACTACACAGAGCCGTTGTTCACCGACAAGCTGCGCAAAACATGCGCAAAATGTGATAGTGGTTTTGCGCAGCTTGTCAGTGAACAACGGCTCTGTGTAGTTAACGCTGCTCCATGTGAAAGCCCGCAGGTGATGGAGATTTACCGCTGATTAAAGAACCGGCTTTACTGACAAGATGCGCGTTAAATATCGCATGCGATTTATCGTGCAGCCCTAGTGTGAACAGGTCTTAATTCTGTGGAACGACCAGCACATTGATAGTTTCACCTGTGGAAGTTGCTTCGTTGCTTCGGGGTGCAGATTTCTGCGGAGGTCTTGAGCTCCACATAACATCCCGGTGCTGGAGGGGCATCAGGCTCTTTGACGCGGCAGTCTACTTCTCCAGAGAAGAGCAGCTTATGGTCGGCCAGACGCGTCTGAACCACCGTACAGAACGCTTCATTGGTGTTCACGACGCCCCCTGGGTCTGGAGTCCCATCCACATCATCTTAAGAGGAAGGAAAACGGTCGATAAGTGGTGAGATCCATTATCTGTCTGATAGTACAAAATACTAGACGCCCCAGACCTGCGCATATGTACTGCTCAAACTTGTAGCCCCAGTACATCATCTCCTCCTGCCGCTGCGAGCGGGTCTCTCGGTTCACTCTGGCCGCCTCTGTTTCCACCTCACTGATGTAGATGGAGCCTCTGAACTTGGAGGCGGCCAGCATCCATCCCTCTTGAGTCTCGTATGGGGTGGTCAGCACTTTGGTTAGGTGTCCTCTCCATGTCACAAAGTCCACTCCTAGAGCACTGCAAACACACTCAATAACTCAACAGAAAACAAGAACAACTGACAGAAACAAGACATCTGTGCTGAAGTGCTAGTTTAGTATCGCTGAGGTACTGTTATAGTTTTTGATTAATATTCTGAATTATTTTTATGAAAGTTTTAGTACTTTTGTTGTGTTTTTGTCATTTTTACTACAGATTTAGTTTTTATTTTAGTACATCAACTAAAAGAAAATGAGAACTGTTGCATTGGCATTTTACTTTATTTCAAATAAGTGTTTATGTGGTTTTAAGTTTAGTTAACTATAATAACCCAGCTGTGCAGTACATACATTCTGGGACAATGATGTGGCCCTCATATATTCCAAAATACATAGAAATGTACATAAAATGACTTGAATATGTCTCTTCTATTATAAGCAAGTTCTGAAAATCAAAAATTCAATTAGACTTTTTTTTTTTCCTTTAAAAAATGTCAGATTAAAAATGTACTGTCCTGACATCGTAATGAAGAAAAAAAACATAAGTAATTTGGTATCGTTTATTCTTCTTTTTATTATTATTATTATTATTTAAATTATTATTCATTTTCATTTCAGTTTAATTTAATTTTGTTTTGTTTTAGTACATCAGTTTAAATGGTAAGAAAATGAGAAATGTTGCAGTGATTAGCTGAGAATTTATTTTAATTTTATTTCAAATAATGTCACGTAACATTTGTTTTATTTATTAATGTATTAAACATACATTAAAATGTAATGTATACAAAAAATGACTTGAATACGCCAATCTCTTGGGGTATCTTAACTACTTTAGCATAAACTTATAAAAAAAACACATTGTAAAAAATCTTTACTGCTTATTAAAATAAAAAAAGTCATGTGGAACATGCAGAAACATGCTGGGGAAAAACACTCCAAACTAATAATTTTCAAAAGATGTTAGATTAAATAAGATATTAGATACAAATATTAGATTATTTGTCTCTTTTTTATTTTTATGAAATGGTAAGGTTAGTTCCGGTAAAATGTCATGTGCAACTCCCCCAAAACATAATATTTATGCACAAATAATTATTTCTCTCCCTCATACATATATATATATATATATATATGTGTGTGTGTGTGTGTGTATATTATTATCATGTAATGTATATATATATATGTGTGTGTGTGTGTGTGTGTGTGTATATTATTATCATGTATGTGTATGTATATATGTATATATATACACACACACACACACAATGCAATGCATGTCTAACCGGAGCTTATTGTAGGTCTGTCTTTAATTACACTATACTGTTCTTTATTTGTTAAACGCTATGTCTTTACAGAGAAGTAAAAAGGTGCAGAAGGTGTTTCTGACCTGGATGAGGGGGTTTGGTCCCTGGTTTGGATCTTGTCTCTGTTGGCCAGAATCCACTTCAGCACATGATCAAGCTTCTCTTTCACGCTGTCATCTCTTTTGACGAAGCGGCTGGTGTATCCATCCCTTAAATTAAAATCTGGGCTCTTTGTGGGCTGCACATAATAGCGCAGCTGCCTCTGGTCGTTGCAGAAGTTCCTGCGAGAGTCCAGAGAGAAGCAGCCCACCTCCACGGGCTGCTTATAGAGCGGGAAGTGTCTCTCATACAGCTGTCTGTGAGCGCTCAGAGTCTCGGCTGCTCTGTGCTGGCCTTCATCTGACGATCTGTGGCGTTTATTCGTCTGATAATCAGCGCTGGAGTCTCCGCATCTTTTGTCAACAGACTCGTGGTGATGGTCTCTGTGGTAACGTTGAGCCATGGCGTGTTTTCAGTGTCGTGTAACGAATTAAACCCCCTGCAGATCTCAGCATTAGCAAATATATCTTGATAGTACGTGTTTATCTAATAAAGTAATGCAAATATGAATGAATACAATTAAGTTCTTAATGGAAAGTAGATAACCAACCAGCCTAATGTGGTAGCAATAACAGCTATTAGCTAACATGTCTTTCTCAAGAATTTATAATCAATAAAAATAGTCTTCCATAGGGAATGTTTAATAATACGTGGCGTTTCAAAAATAAACGTGGTCCTAAATTAGGATTAAACTGATATCTCACTCAGATAATAACATATACTGTTAGCGGATCGAGCGCGTAAATCGCATGAATGAAAACACTTTCAAAATAAAAGCCGTACATTCCAACTTCAAAATAAAAGTTTTGAAGTTTTGCGCCAGTGCGCGTGATCAATGTTGATGTCGGCACGCAATGAATATTCACCCAATCTATTTTATAAAAGCATGTTTTATTTTTTATTTTGAAAAACTGACCTTGTAATTTAATCAAAATGTCATCACTGAACCTTTTGGTAAAAATGATCGACTTCTCTCTGATATAGATATAACACAGATATAAACTATTCTGAAATAATAATAATAATTAAAAAAAAAAACTGAAATCTAACTTGTGAGATACAAACTCGCAACTGCTGGATATAAAGCCAGAATTGTGAGTTTTTTTAGTTTTGTTTTTTTTAACCACTTGGCAGAAACAATATTCCATTTGGAAGATTTGTCGCTTCTTCTGTTTCATCACAAATTTAAAACATTTGATTTACGTTTCTTGGACACAATGAATCTCATTAGTAAAATAAAAAATGGACATTTGAGGCAACATTTCCTTTTTATTGCCATCTTATGTATCACGTGAAATCTACTACGCTGGGTTTGCTACCCTGACAATACAGTCCTAAATTAAAGTCCCAAAATACGCTGTTAATATATTTCTTGCTGTGGCGGTACTAAAAAATGTCAAGTGCAGCAATCAGCTTCAGACAATATTAGACAATTAATTAAAGTAACAGACTTTAACCTTTGAGATTTTTTTACAGTAGCCTATATGAAAATGTAATTATTTGTTCCTCTTAAAAATTCCTCATGAATTTTAGAATAAAAGTTAAAGGTATCCACCTTTTTCTTCAATGTGGAAGTAAGCCTATGGGCGAGACTTCCGGTCCATTAGCCGCTATAATGAGAAGAATAACAACGTGCAGTAAACGTTAAAACTGTTTGCACTACAAATCAGAGTGTTCATAATTAATATAATACATTAAAATAATATAGTAAGACACACCAATTTGCAATATCAAGCAGCAAAACAAACTGTTTTGTACAGCTAAAAATAGCTGGACGCGGAGGAGCCAGGAAGCTAAACCCATAAAATTTACAAATGTCCGCACCCATTTTTACGTGAAGAAAGAGGTGGATAGTTCACAACCAAAATGAAAATTCTATCATCATTTACTCACCCTCATGTCGTCCCAAACCTGTATACATGTCTTTGTTCTGTGGAACACAGAAAAATATATTTTGAAGAATGTTGGTAACCAAAGAGTTTCAGTTCCCATTGGCAATTTCCATTCAAAGAAAAGACCTTTAGAATGAGAGTAAAAGCCATTGCATCTCAACTACTGAAGATATGAAAGCTGCTATAATCCATCTCTTCAATGTATAACACTTTACATTTCTGGTAAACACAGACTTACCACACATAGCATATTTTTCAACATAAATAGCAAAGACATATGACAGGTATGGTGAAACTGGAATGACGCAGAAATCCCAATAGATAGCAAATGCTTTAATTTCACAATGGCAGTTGACATCAAAAGCATGATTTCCCAAGATTTGGCATGTGCATTTCTGAATCCTTTAGAAAAGAGTGTTTAAGTTTAAAAGAACAGATATGCGGGAACCAGCAAGAGTACAAGAGCTTTTCAATTTACAAAGTATACATTGGCCAGCAGCAGCACACATTCCTTAGAGCTCAGAGATTACACAACAATCTAATAATCAAGCATTCTTTGAGGACTTAATTCATATTCATGGATAATAATGCATCACATTAATCCTAACCAAGAACGTATAATGTAGAACAGCATACTCAGTTACATGGCAGATGCTCCTCAACCTAACAAATATATTTATGAAGATAAACTACAGTATGTACAGACAAGTTCCAGTTCGTTTTGTCTAACAACAGATCACGCAAAAGTGCTAGGCCAGGAAAATTGGTATCGCTTGGTTTTCTGAGTCCGTAGGAATGGAACTGATCAAAGTTAAAGACAAGAGCATAGTGAAACCTCTATCAAAATTGAACCCTACATTCTTATAAATGAGATATTTACAGTACATGTCAAACACTGATTAATTGGAGTGAGAAATTCAGAAGCCTGAGGATAAAGTCACTTAACATAATATCACAACTGAAATATTAACTGAGCAGAATATACTATTAAATACACCACTACAGCAAAACAACAGTGGCTACAAATCCTATCCATATTCAACATATGTAGGAAAAATGGCTCAGCAAGAAGGGAAAAAAAAAAAAAAAAGATTCAGCTCTGTCTATCAATGGGACAACTCCTGAGATATTTTTAACAGTGATCTGTAATGCTTTTGTAAGTCCGAATGCACTTTTTGGCCTACTGTAAATTAACTCCCAGTGTAAAACATGAGGTTGGACAGGTTGAAAAGCCACTCTATGTGTGTGGGTTTGGGAAACTGTAAGTATCTCTCAGTACTTAAAGAGAGACTGATTTGATTGTGTCAAACAGACACTTTACTGGGGTATGTTTTCATAAACTAAGGCCAGAACTGTGGTTTACTCAGGTTGCGGGGTGCTGGGACCCCAGGAAAAGAGACTGGGAAGGCGGAAGACAGAGTCTCTCCGTGCTGGGTCGGGAAGAGTCAGGGTCTCCGGAGCTGACTTCTTCCGTGGTCTGTCCTTGGGCACAGAAAGGAAGTCTGGAGCTTCAGTGGAAAGGGGTGTAGAGGGAGCACTGGATGGGCCGCTACGAGCACAGGCTGGCAGGGGCGTCTCGCTGATGGAAATAGCAGGCGGAAAGGTTCCCAGCTTCTTATTGGTGGCTTCCTGAGTGGCTCGTTCATATTCTCTCACTTCCTCCATTGTCATGTCTTTAAACATCCAAAGCAAAGACATTTAAATTAGTGGGGTACATAGTGGACATCTGAAACATGAAGACGAAGTCTCCTACCTAATGTAATTTATACTGGTCTAAACCAGCGGTGTTAAACTCAGATGTTGAAGGGCAACAGTCCTGTTCCAACATAGTTCCAACATTGCTTCAACCCATCTACCTGTACTTTCTAGTAAACCTGAAGGACTTAATTAGCTGGTTCAGTTGTGTTTAATTAGAGTTGAAGCTAAACTCTGCAAAACTATGGCCCCAGAAGTTGAGTTTGACACCCCTGGATTAAACACATCCAATATGAAATCATATTCAATCTGATGTTCACGAGGCTTCCATTAACAAACTGCAGTAAAATATTTCATGTCACTTTTATTTGTTTCTACAAGCTTTTGTGTGTCTATTATTTATAGCTGTCTTCCTTTCATACCATTAGTCATCGAATCCTGGTTTATAATGCCATGATGGTAGTGAGGGGTATCGAAAATTCAGGGGTGTCCTTGCACACGGAGTCCGAAATTTTCGTATGCATGTTTTCGTATTCGTCATCCTAAAAATTTGTCACGCACAGAAACCTTGCACACTGAGTCCGATGCGTATTAATCCATAATTCGCAAAACAGTACTAAATGGAGTTTTCAAGCAGTGAGAATGGTTTTGTTTTCCTCTCGCTTCCTAAAAAGAGAAAAAGAAAGGAAATATTGGGTCCATCCAATCCTGAGATATAGAAGAAGGAGAGTTCCCCCTCCTTATTAAAGAGCGACGGGATTTTCACGGGCAATTCAAAGCTTACTTCAGGATGTCAGTGGCTCAAGTTTGATGCTTTGCTAGTGATACTAGAGCCACATATTAAAAAGAAGACCATCAATTTCTGTGAACTCAATGTGCAAGGATCTTTACAGTGCTTTGAGACGAAGTGGATGAACTTGACAATCGGCATTCTGGATTTTTTTGCGTTCGCTTGTACGGTGGCTCTGAATTGTCAAAACACCTCTCAAAATGCTTGCTACGGATGCGACAAATGCAGAAAATTTAACCCGATCCAAATTTTTTTATGACGGACAAACGTTTCGGAGGCAGTGTGTATACGTGATTGACAACGTGAGGTCGTATTTATTTTTCAACGTCTGAAATTTTTGGACTCGGTGTGCAATGGTCTTTACTCCTGGAGGACCACCTTCCTGTAGAGTTTAGCTCCAACACACCTCACTTGAAGTTTCTAATGATCCTGAAGACCTTGATTAGCTGTGTTTAATTGGGGGCAAGAGCTAAACTGCTGAAACGTGGCCCTCCAGGAGCAGGATTGGAGACCCCTGCTCTAATCTCCAACAGAGGTAAAAGAGATGCTGTTTATTCCTTTTTTTGAGGAGAAAACAGCTCTGCTTTCTATGTTTGGTAATCTGAACACTTTAAGTGTTTATGACTGAAAAATGTGTTCAAGCCATCTAATCTAATCAGTATGGTCAAGGTCATTGATGAGAACATGAAGAACAATTTTAAAGAGCTGAATTTCTCAGCTGAAACATCTTTTCTGTCTGTTTGTTCTTGCAGTGACTCATGCAAAACTAAACACGGTTGTGAGCTATGGATCACGACATCCTTCAGCATCCATGAGCTTTGTTAGTCACGACTCTGGGACAGCGTCAACACAAAAGAAACCGCAAGTAAAGGTAAAGAGATGAATAAACAACAATCTGAAGGGAAGAATGTGTGCATGACTGGCTAGTCAATGCCAAACTTACCAATCCACTCATCAACCCAAGCGAAAGCCTGTCTATGACCCAGCAACAGCACATCTCTTACCACCTACAGAAAGAAAGACAGGTAAAATATATGGTGATTGTGATGTTGCCAAGTATACATGTGTAGTGGATGTGTTCCTGGATCTTTTTTAGTGCTGGAGAATTACTTCTGTGAAACGAACATATCCCTAATCTTCCCTAACCCCAATGCTATCAATAACCCTAACATCAGAAGAAAATGAAAAGTTAAAAGAAATGTTGTTGAAGCTCCAGCTCCAGCACAAAGCTGGCTAATCCTAACCCTTAAATCTGATTGGTTGACAGGAATATTGTTTCAGAACCAACAAAGATGATCCAGGGACTTGTGCTGCTACATGATATCATGGTAAGCACAGCTGGATACACAGATCTATCTATAGATCTGAGTGATCTGCAGTGAGAGTAACTACAAGGTTAGGGTTTTAGGGGGCTCGTCTGGGATATGCATGTGGAGTGGTGGAAGTGACCTTGTGCACAAACTGCTCCACGCGTGTCTGAAGTCCCCACACCTCGAACTTCACCGTTACTAGCTTATAGGAGCACATGATGGGATCCTGTGTGTCCCTCCAGCCCTCCTGCAGCAAACCCCGGGCTGTCTTCTCAGATTTAAAGTATCGTGGGTCCTAGAGTGGAAATACAAAATGGAAGTAAAATAAAAAGTCCTGGAATGCAAATAAAATGGCCCACAGAGTTTATTATATATATAAGTCTCATTTCAACCTTTTTAAAAATTATTCATGGCAGAATAGAAAGAAGACAGGAGATGACGGGAAGAAAAGGTGAAACTCGGATAAAAAAAAAAATGACATGAACCAACACATGCCAACTATGCAAACACTAAGCAATTGCTCTGACAATTGGTTATCTTATTATACAGTTAATAATAAATGGTAAATTACTCTCCAGTCCAACTTTGATCTGAGAAGTTTTGAGCTATTCTCACTGTAAACTTGTCCTTGTACTGGTTGCGTTCTGGTTGGTGGCAAATTTCTGTACACAAACCAAACATATCTATGATTTTACATTTAAATTACAGATGTTAATTATATTATTGTTAATTATATGATTATAGTTTCATTTTAGATTTTTTCCTGTATTTGTACATGCTGTATTTATTTCATTTTTTCCTACCCAGTGTTATTGCGTTTAATGCCTGTACCTGCCATCCTGTTCTAGCTGATGGAACACCCGAAAGCATATTGCATCTTTGTACTTATGCACAAAATTAGAGAGTGAATTACATTTAAAAGTTAGCATCACTTTGCTCTACTCACTCTGGAGAGCAGAGCACTTGAAGTGAGTGAACTACCCGACGGTGTTCCACAGGGTTCAGTACCTGGACAATTTTTACTCTCCCTTTTCACAAAATCACGTTGCAAAATTATCACCTCTCGGAGCTTTTTCCCATTATACCTATGCAGATGATACTCAATTCTCTTTTCACCCTCTGACAACCAAATATCATCTGGTATTAACATATTTCTGCCTGCATATCTGAATTTATTGAATACCGAGCTGTTGATAATCCTGGCCAAAGAACCAACCCTGCCAAGACCTTGTTATTTCAATAGACAACAAAATCATCTCACCCACACAAGAATGGTAAGAATCGTGGCATCATAATCAACAAGGTCTATTATACCTATTATACAGAGCATAGGTCTTCAACCCTGCTCCTGGGGACCCGCTTTCCTACAGAGTTCAGCTCCAACCCTAATCAAACACACCGGAACCAGCTACTCAAGGTCTTCAGGATCACTTGAAAAGTCACAGGCCAGGTGTGCTGAAGCAGGTTGGAAATAAACTTTGTAGGACATTGGGTCCCCAGGAGCAGGGTTGAAGACCTATAGTACACACTACACATAGTTAGTGCTGTGCTTCTGATGAAATTTACGCCCTGTTCTGCATGCATATACTAGCGCAAATTTTTTTTTGGCACCTGATTCGACTCATCCACTCAGGGTTGAATGGGGCACTGCAGTAGTGTACATGTAAAAAACAAAGAATACTTTGGGCTTTTTTGGGCTAACATCATCAGGAAAAGAACCTTTGTGAACAGATTTGTTCACTTTTGCTTGTAACGACCATACAAATAGTGTCCCCTTCCCACAATGCCCTTGAGGGGCACAAAAATGCTACTTGGAACTTCCCCAGAGCAAGATGTCGACTGTTAATGACTGAGATTCACAGGCTGTTTAGCAACACAGAGGACTAAATAAAGTATACATTTGTATTACCTTGAAATACACCTTTAGTCATATTCGGTTTAAAAACTAATAATTAAACTTTGCAATGCATTGGGGGTACATTACACACACACTGTGTCAATTTAACAGCATGTCCTAGATGAAATTCAGTTTAATGGTGTTTAATAAGCGGTCATTACCTCAACGTACTATGAATGGATTATTTGAATCCCTTCTTTCTACATATTTCTTCTTTTAAAAACCATTGTTAGTGCACTCTTGGTTTTCTCTTCATATTTTCAGTACGTTTTCATTAAAACCATTTACTTAAAGCCATGCCTTTTTATTGTTGATAAAATAAACCTTTGGCCAACAAATGTTTTTGAACAAACACTGACGAGATTGACATTACTTGCTTTATTTGCATTGTACCCCAATAGGACATAGTGCTAAGGTTGTTTTCTGTGATATAAAGTGATTTTATTTGTCTAAATGAGGACTAGAGTGATCATTTATCATTCCCAGCACTGCAGCTGTTCTTTTCCCTTCCACATCTAATCCCACCTCTGCTTTTTTATTCCTCAAACAGAACCACTGCTGGCCTGGATCCTTAGATAGCAGCAAGCTCCTGCCAGAGAAAGATAACACTGCACTCCTCTCATCTGTCTATGCTTACCTCTGCAGGAGGAGAGAGACAGTGTGTGGAAATGAATTACTGCAGCGGTACAGTGGAGAGGTGATTCTGAGTCTTGTGTGTATCCAGTAGAGATCTCAACAGGGCCTTTTTAATAATTCAGAACTGGCTTAAAAATAACCCATACTCCTTTGTTTTCTTCTATGTGGGAGAAACACTCCCCTGTCACTTCAAAACAAAATCCCATCAGCACTAAATACCATATCAACAGAGCTCAAATGAATAAATCATAGAGGTCAGTGTGGAAAATATTGGAGGTGTTTATTAGCACATCCCGTACCTTAGAGGGAAATTTGTACATTTGTATTGCTTATAAATTATTTATCATCTCTTTAATGGATTATATATTTATGTTTTATTGAAGAATTATCTTACCTCGGACTCCTTGTAGTAGCGCTCTGGGATCTCGTCGTAGGCGATGTCAATAAAGCACACCTCCGTTTCTTCATCTCGGAGCTCTGTATCAAAGATCTAGAGCACAATGAGAGGATTTTAGAAAGAAAATTAGTGAAGAAACAATCTACCAGCTACCATTGCTACAAAAAATGTTTTGATTAGTTTTAACCAGATGTGATGTAACAAGTTTCCTTTGTTCTCGCTGAACAGCAATGATGTGAGATGCAACACAATCAAAACATATTTGATCTGTAAAATACAGATATGGGGAGGGGATGATATATTACAGTGAGTGGAAATCAAGCAACTAACAGAAAACCTTGTCGCTTGTGGCTCTTTGCAGTAGTAGATTAACTGAATAAAGGGATCATTCACCCAAAAATGAAAATTCTGTCATTAATTACTCACCCTCACATCATTCCAAACCCGTAAGACCTTTGTTCATCTTCAGAACACAAATTAAGATATTTTTGATGAAATCCGAGAGCTTTCTGACCCTGCATAGACAGCAATGCAACTACCACGTTCAAGGCCCAGAAAAGTAATAAGGACATTGTTAAAATAGTCCATGTGACATCAATGGTTCAACTGTAATGTTATGAAGCTTAAGAATACTTTTTGTGCTCAAAGAAAACAAAAATAACGACTTTATTCAACAATTTCTTCTCTTCCGTGTCAGTCTTTGACGCACGATCACGAGAGTACCACGACACAGGTTGAACTATTGATGCCACATGGACTATTTTAACAATGTCCTTACAACCTTTCTGGGCCTTGAACGCGTCAGTTGCATTGCCGTCTATGCAGGGTCAGAAAGCTCTCGGATTTCATCAAAAATATCTTAATTTGTGTTCCGAAGATGAACGAAGACTTATGGGTTTCAGGTTAAGACATGAGGGTGAGTAATTAATGACAGAATTTTCTTTTTTGGGTAACCTATCCCTTTAAATGAGTGGTGTCCAATTCGCTCCTGAAGGGCTAATATCCTGCAGAGTTTATCACCAGTCTGCCCCAATACATTGGCTGGAAGAGCTTGATTAGCTGGTTCAGGTGTGTTTAATTAGGATTGGAGCTAAACTCTGCAGGACAGTGACCCTCCAGTAGCAGGACTGGACAACCCTAGATTAACCAAGTTACCCCTGGTTGCCAAGTTGCTGTATTGTTGGTTACTAGTTAGTCTCACACCCACAGTCCAAGAGTTTGATATAGGCCTATACTGCACACAAAACTGAACAACAGGTTTTTAAACAATCCACCAAGAAAGTAAGTCATGCTTTACAAGTTCCCAGACTGATACACTGAGTGGGATTTTTCAAAGTTTGTGAGGTTCAACTTCACATCGAATCAAGTAAACTGTCGTTGGTCATTTTACATCAGTCATATGATCTCTTTTTATCTGAATGGGCGGATGTTGAACCACAGTAGCTGCTCAACTTTGTCACCATCACAAATCATCAACTCTCACTGACAGTGACTTCCGGTTGCTTATTGCAGCAATTCACTCTCAGCATGAACACAAGCTTGTTCACTTGTCACCAGGATAGACTCAGACTCCAACACTTCTACAGCCGCAGACTCCACGCTGTCCACAAGAAGGAGCTCTCGGTCTAAGCTGCCACTCATCCCAGTGCTTGCAGCCTAACAAAGACTTTAATGGGTGAGAGCGCTCCGCTTCAAAGGATCAGGTGCTTTCAGGTGAGAGAACGGCTCTCCTGTTGTCTGCCACCGGTGTGGGTTTGCCAATTACATTGTAATTATATTCATATCCAACTGACGGTAAGCTTCAGGGATGACATGGATAGAAATGTATAAAACCTCTTTATTTTAAAATGTAGACACAAAAGGAAAGTGCACTAGCTGTGAGAGCAAGGAAGGAATGGGTTGAAACTGTAAAATAAAGAATAAAAGGGGAAGACATGACTGGATATTTTATAAAATAAGGTATGGTGGACCTTATCAAGAGAGATCGGGAGGAAGACAGAAAGGGAAATTTGAAAAGGGCTTGAATGATGGCTCTAATAAATAAAATCAGCCTTAATTTCTGAGATGTGGTATCAACGCGGAGTCAAAGCACGGAACTCGGACAAGCTTGTTTATCAAAGCCGAAGAACAAAACACAAGTACCAACTCTAAATCCCAATGGTGGTGATAAGCAACATTAAAGTAAGACTCCTGCTGCAACGCAGACTAATGCATGCTGGAGTGCGCCGTTTAAACTTCAAAGCAGCCAACATGGCTCAAATGTAGGGAAAACATCACAAACAGCCTCTCATGCCAATGAGGAGGCGGAATACAGATCAAGGATTTGTGTGTTCTGCTCTTACAGATGCAGACAGAGTTCTACAGGTGCAAAAAGACAAGACACAAGCGAGGAGGTGGGTTCAAATATCACTCTGCTGAAGACAGCAAAGTGCTGCCCCTTGTACCTGCAGCGTGACCGTGGTTGATTAAGCAAAAAAGCAAGGTCCATGAAGAATGATTTACTGAGTCTGGTGTGGAAGAACTTGACTGGCCTGCATAAAGTTCACACCTGAACCCCACTAAACACCTTGCAATAGGAACAGCCAGCAAGACCCCATCATCAAACGTCAGTGCCTTAACTTCACTGCCACTCATATGTCTGAATGGGAACAAATCCGTGCATCCATTTTCCAACATTTAGTCAGTGGAAAGTCTTTCCAAAACAGAATTGGAAGCTGTTAAAGCAGCAAACGAAGAACAAACTCTCTATTTATACCCATGGTTTTGTAATTAAATGCTCAATAAGCACATACAGCAGGTGTGTAAGTGTCCAAATACACAGTCAGGTTAAAATAAATTAAACTTTTAAAAAGAGACATTGTATTTTCTCCCATTCCAAAAAAACTATTAGTTGATGACCTATTTTTCCATGACTAAGACAAGACAATATCAATATGCAATATTGTTGATGAAAAAAAAAAGACTAACATGTAGTTAACAAATAAATAAAAACTTTATATATCCAAAATAGCTCTTAAATTTTCTTCAACAAAAAGGGGGGAAATATAGACCTCATTGAGTTTTCATGCTTGGGTTTGCCAAATGTCAAGACTTTAAATGTACCTTTCATTGCATTTATTTTAAAAGGACACGTTTTCTGCTTTGTGTTTTACTATTTGGAATGGGAAATCCCTAGATCTTGATACATATTTTTAAATTCTAAATATATATTTTTTAACTCAAGTGCTGTTTTTTGAATGCTGTGTCATGCACGAGAGGCTGCAAAATATGAGATCGTAATGGTCAAAGACTTCCTTCTACGGCATGCTAAAACAATGGAAAAGCAGCGCAGTTCTATGCGCTCAGGTTATGAATCTTCTGTTATGAATTCTCTGCCTAAGATCAGTTTGCAGCTCCATTTTCCACCAGTGATGCAGCAATATCTTACAGCAGCTTAAGAATAAGAATGAACCAAAACACTTTACTTTGTTAATGCATGTTTCTGGTTTTATAGTGCGCAAAATATATTGGTGCACACTAATCCAAATAAATACAAATGTCTTTATAATCTCATCAAAATGTAATAATGTTCATTTTTGGGGTTGATATCACAAATCTCCCTTATTTTTCATCCCCCTCTCTCCAACCACCTGCATCAATAGCACAGGTGGCTCAACAGAAGCCATTACTTTAAAAGAACCATTTGAAAGCACGTTTAGAGCAGGTCAAAATGCATAATGGTGAGCCATCTGTGATTTTGTGGTCAAATAAAACCGTTCAGGCTTTCAGCTGAAATTCAAAGTGATATAAAGCAAATCTAACACTGCTCACACCTCAAAAACACCAGAGCTCATGCTGCCTCTCCTCACAAGGATTAATGGTGCAAGATACAAAGAAATGAAGCAGGAGAGCCTGCTTTAGTCGGATAAAAACATGCTCTGGATAAAATACAATTTTCAGCGAGGCAATGGTTCCAAAAACAAGACCAACTTAACATCAAAGTGCCTGAAATCGCCAATCTCAAGTCAAAATTCACAGGTACCCGTTGGTCTGGAAACAAAGTGGTGTTTACAGAGTCTGAGGCTGGTAGAATGATGCACTTCTTAAAAAAAGAATTAATCACTGGACTCAAGTTTGCCAGGATAGTTGCATCAAATACATGCATATGCATAGCAAATCACTGCTGCAAAAGTTAAAATATGTGGATTGAACAATTATGCTATTTATTTTAATGTAATGATGCTTAAAATAACTCATTTGAATATTTTCACAAGATGCCATATTAATGTTGTGCGGGTGATAGGTCTGACCCTCACTGGTTGATTTCAGCACCATGGACAGGGCAAATCAACAGCACATGGCCAATGGAACGAGATGGGTAATAAAACCTGAAGCTATTTTCTGCTCATCAGCCGCCGTTTCTAAAGAAGTGTTGGCATCTCAACCGAGTGTGAAACACGGATGGTGAAAGAATGCAACGTTCTGCTATTTCTCGCCTGCAGATGCAGAAATAGCCCTGAGGCGGACCAACCAGCACCCCACAACCTCCCAACAGATGCTACCTGGCTCCTACACCTCTCCTTTACAGTGCCCACAAGCACATTCATATTTCATTCAATCACTTTGTCTGCTATCAATCATTTTTCAGAACACCTTACAGTTTCCATTTTTTATTATTTTTTTAAAATAAAGTTAATTTTATATACAACATTGGTTGTCACTACTTCATCCCTTCACACTGTACAACTGATTTCTCTCCCTCTCTGAAGTACATTTAATCATTGTAAGTTCAAGCACATCATTTGTAAATGTTAGATCTTCAAACAAACCCACACACGCCTCAAACTGATCACAGAAGAGGAAGAACTAGCCGCCTGCAGTGAGTGATCTTTAAAATGCTCTCATTTGGGGCAGAGGATAAAAGTGTTACTTGATGCCAAGAGCAAAGGAATAAAACAAAGCGAAATTCTTTCTGAGCGAGTGAGCATGTGTGCGGAGACTCGAACAGAAGCTCGGGACAGCACAGACAGCACAGGCTCAGACAGACCGTAACCGCCGTCTGGAACAATCCTGATACATGTAAGCTCTTCAGACTGACTGCAGGCCAGCATTATTAAAGAGTCAAGCTCACCCTGAAACTCTCTCCAGGACAAATCCCATCTGAAATCACAAGCGGTTTTTGGCTAGTGGGTTTCTTCCACTTAGATTTACACAGTGTTAAGGAAGTCAAAACCTCTGAAAACATTCCAGTAAATAATAGCGATATAGCTCAGCCGCAGATACTGAAATTTTGTCATCATTTACTGAACCTCACTTAGTTTAAAACCTGCAAAAGGTTCTTTCTTCCATGAAATAGATGTTTATCAGAACGTCATCATAAATGTATATGAATACACACAAGTGTGAATGAGATTTGTGAGTGACATCCTATGGACTACTTTACTGTTGATTCTATGTACTTTTTATAGCTTGAAATCCAGCTGATGACAAATATTTTGGGAGAATAGTTTACCAAAAAATGAAAATTTGCTGAAAACTTACCCTCAGACCATGAATTTGTTTCTTCTTTGAATCAGATTTGAAGAAATTTATCATTACATCACTTGCTCACCAATGGATGCTCTGCAGTGAATGGGTGCCGTCAGAATGAGAGTCCAATAAATACATCACAATAATCCACAAGTAATTCACACGCATCCAGTCTATGAATTAACATCTTGTGAAGATGTTCTAAGATACAAATCTATTATTGAGGTGTTTAAATTTAAATGGTCACTACTGGCCAAAATACAAGTCCATAAACCATAATAATGCTTCCTCCAGTGAACAAGTCCATCTACTGTTGTCCTCCCACATCAAAATCCAGCAACACATTTGTTTTGAAATGTTCTGGTCTGGACTGTTTTTCACATGTTAATGGTGCTTGATCTGTGCATATTATTGGTTAACCCACTGGAGTGGTGTGGATTATTGTGATATTTTTATTAGCTGTTTGGACTCTCATTCTGCCGGCACCCATTCACTGTAAAGGATCCATTAGTGAGCAAGTGATGCAATGCTCAATTTCTCCAATCTGTTCCCATGAAGAAACAAACCCATGGTTCTTGGATGGCCAGAGGGTGAAATTTCAGCGACTTTTCATTTCTGTGTGAACTATTCCTTTAATAATGCATGAATATTTAATCAAAGTAATAAATAAACAGGGGAAGACCCACAACTCTATAAAGTTATATAAGCACATTAAATCTAGTGATGCCACAAATTGTTTCCGAGACTCTACTAGGCTTTCTAGTTGTTAGTTTTGATCATCATTTCTCTCGTTCCACACGATCAACAGATTTCACTTTACAGAAAAGATTTAGATGAAAGAATTGAGAAAAGATGAAATCATGCATATTTACACTGCATCCAATATACATACATTGTCATTGATGCCTTTGTTGTCTTCATACTTTGTCTCAACGTGGATGGAGAACTTTGGCAGGAAAGAGCACTAAAGAAGAGAAAAAAAAAAGTGTCAAAAATGAGTTAAATTAGGCAAAAACAGCCACCCTAGAAAGTATTTGGATACTTAAAAACATATCAAATCAAGTGTCATCTGCACACAAAATACAAAACAAGCTTTTTTCCCCTCACTTTTCTTCATTATTTTTGCTCAATGTATTTGAGTCAGCTGGTGTTTTTTTTGTGTGTGGATATATTAATTTCTCCAAATTCACACAGCAGTCATTATAAAATGACAATCATCATAATGCACTAACATTTGTTTGACAACCACATAATATATTTGTCTTCATTTTCAAGAGTGCATCTATTGTTTTACTTCGAACCAAACAAAGATTACTTAAATAAAACTTGACAGTTGGTTTTTACATTCTATTTAACATAATGTCATTCATAAATTGATGTGCTCCTTAAAGGTAGGAATAGAGGAATAGTTCACCCAAACTAAAAAATGTGTGGAAAATGTTCTTACCCTTAGGCTGTCCAAGATAGAGATGAGTTTGTTTATTCATGGGAACAGATTTGGAGAAATTTAGCATTTTAGTGATTTAGTGAAATTTAGTGATCATTTGCTCACCAATGCATCCTCTGCAGTGAATGGGTGCCGTCAGAATGAGAGTCCAAACAGCTGATAAAAGCAACACAATCCACAAGTAATCCACACCACTCCAGTCCATCAATTAATGTCTTGTGAAGTGAAAAGTTATGTGTTTGTGAGAAACAAATCCATCAAGACATTTTTAACTTGAAATTGTCGCTTATAATAAGGCCATAATCCATAATAATGCTTCATCCAGTGATAAAGTCCGTCCCTGTGGTTCTCTCACATCTCACAAAATCCACCAACATATTTGTTTAAAATGGTTTTTGCTTATAAATGGTGTTTGATCTGTGCACATTTCTCTCCTGATTCAGAGGAGACGACTTTTTTCACCGAAGAAAGCAATATTATGGAGGGAGGACTCGTATTTTGGCCAGAAGCAAAGGTTTGAAGTTAAAAACATCTTAATGTTGGATTTGTTTCTTATAAACAAACACGAAGCTTTTCGCTGTGTACTATACTGAAGCTTTTAATGGGGCAAATATGTAACTACCCTTGTGAAAAAGAAGTGAACAACTGTATGGAATGCACTTGTACTGTTCTTCAAATCTTAAAATAATTTAGTTTAAAAACATATGGTATTAATAAAAATATCTAATGTAATATTACTGAAATAAAAGACTTCTTAAGTGAACCTAAAGAGAGACACTTTCATGACTGTTTCTTAACACACTTAAGTACACTTTAGAAAAGT